TCCAGGATATGCACCTACCCCCTGCAGAGGGCAGCTCTCACCTGAAGCCAGGAGGTAGACCCCTTCAATCTGGGGTGGAGAAGAGTAAACAGCCAAGTCCCAGCCCGGGCCGCACCAGTCCGACCGACCAGCCCCCTGGCCCAGCAAAGCCACGCCCCGGATCACCCCCACTCCCTACAAACGGCCAGGTGCCCACCCCCAACCGACCATCCCCCAGACTCCGGCAGCCACCCCAGCCAGCGGGCCAACCACAGCAACCAGGAGCCAGACTCCAGGAGCCCGAACAGCCCCAGAGAAGCCGGAGCACCAGCCCCGCCTCCGGAGCCCCTCCAAGCCCCATGTCCGCCCGCAGCCCAGGCCCCACCAGACGGTCAGCCCCCCCCCAGGACCTCATCCCCAGATGGCCAACGGGAACGGGGGCGTTAAAAAGACCCCGACACACACACCCCCACCCTCAGATGTACTGTTGATGCGTGATGTTCTATAATGCAATTAAAATGGGGAAGAAGACAGGGCAGAGGCCAGCACTATGCCAGTTTCCCCTCCACCCCAACTCTAACCCTAAATGTCTAAAAACAAACAATGTGAGTGGGCACAGGCATCAGTGGCAAGACTGTCCTATCCCGTCCCTTACATGCATCTTTAATTGGTATTATGACTAGTCAGAACTAAAAGTGAGATATCTTGAAAGTAACTAGTGACTAGTCAAAACTAACTTAGAGATATCTTGAAATGTATTTTTGACTTAGTCAAAATTCCTTTTAAGATATTTTGAATTGAAGCCTCCACAGAACTCAATTGTAAATCTGACATCATTTATACTATTCAAAGTGTAATTAAAGATATCTCAAATAGGTATTTTGACTAGTCAAAATATAATTAGAGATATCTTAAATAACAAATATGACTAGTCATAATTCAGTTTCAGATATCTGGAATGGAAGTGTCGTGAATCCGATTTTATGCTAAAATCGCTTACCATGAGAGCATAGTTATTACACTATCTTCGTCCATTTTAAGTACACTAATGTTATTCTTTTGTAACAAGACAAAATGAAAAAAGTTGTCATTTTTTTGAGTAATTCAGAAAATATTTTCAGGACCCCACCTTGATGTTTCAGGACACTGCTGTATGTCCCGACCCCGACTTTGGGAATTACTACTTTACAATATTTAACTAAAGATCTTGAATTGCTTGAAGGAACCGGCTGCCTTTCATGACACATTTTTATTCTAAATATTTGCAGCCAGTTCGGTCAAATCTTGAAAATCCAGTCAGTCTGTAAAAAAAAGATTTAACTGAGTTGGCATCAAAAGTAAAAAAAAATTGAGAGTTTCAATAAAATCTATCCAGTGGTTCATGAAGTATTTTGCTAACAGACAGTAAAAACAAAAGTAAAACATTATCACCCACCGGTTGCCTTTCAGCAGCTGGCTGTAATAACAGTTTTACTTGTGTTTCAATAAAAGCAGAATCAGGAAGAATCCTGCAGATGATGCCTCCTCCTTTACGTTCAAAAGGATGTTTCTTCAACACAAAACTGTCAAACAAGAAGCTGACGTCCAGATTTTCTGTTGAAACGTGGACAGAGGGGCCACAACACTTTTGGTGAGTTTACCTCATTTTCTCTGCAACAAAATAATCCGATTAAAGGTTTCTACACTGAGATGATGGGATACTACAGACAAAATAATTTTATAAACACTGATAAATTGGGAGTTTTGTAATAAATACTTTTTGTGTTGTGAAAAGCAAATATAAACAAACCCGTTTTTACAACTTAGTTTCTTATCAGGAAACCTTTAAAGTGCTTGTTGTTAAACATAAGGGTTAGTTTTTTGTTAAATATAAGTCTTAAACGGTTTGTTTTCTGGTGCTCTGATAGTTTTAGTTTGAAATTTTTTTACACATTTCAAATGACAACTTACACATACAAGATTATTTTTGACCCCATCAGCTGAAAAAGTCATTGCTGCATACGTTTAATATTTAATAAAAGAATAAACCTGAACAGACAGCGGTTTGTGTTTCAGAGCGAGTTGGACTGAGTGTCTCAGTGTCTGCATCATGATCGATCTACAGGAGGAAGATGAGAACATTCATGTGGAGGAAGATCAGCTGGAAGGTGAAAAGGCAGCTGCAGTCAGAGGTGAATTACTGAACATAATACTGTATATATAAAATATTTACTGACTAAAACTATGAAACTTAAAGTGAATTGAAGCAGATTAGACAGAGAGACTGTGGTTTATCTTCAGTCAAACTGCATCAAGAAGGTGATCAGAGCAGCAGATATCAGGTCTCTCTGGTTACACTCTGGTTTCCTGTTTTTAGTTTATCACATCAGGTTACGAAATATGTTTTAAACCCATGTGTTCTTTTATCTATTGTTATGTTTAAATGGTCAGTTAATTTTTTTCTTATTTGATTCTGTAGAAAAATGTGAGGGAGGTTACTGGTTGTATGATGGGTGGTTGTTTGGTTCAGTTGTTTTTTTATTTAGATGTTGGTTGGTCAGATGTATGGTTGGATGTATGATTTAGTGGATGTATGGTTGGTTTGGTGTATGTTGGTTGGATGTATGGATACGTATGATGGATTGGACTCTGAATCACAAACAAAGTCAGATAAAAGTTTAAAGCTTTTATTGGCAAACAGCAAGTTGTTGGTGTTGAATCTCTCTCGGGCAGCACAACGATCTGGTTTCTCTGCACACAAGAAACTGGGTTGAGTAACAGGCAGGATGTTATAACAATCGAACTCACTGACCTGACTTGACTGTGTTGGGTTTGTGGAGACACAAAGTTGAAACTCAGAGGGTTCCGGCAGAACATAATGACGTCACAACGTTGTTTGGGTCCGAGAGACTGAGACTTGGTCAGGGGAAAAATGAGGGTCAGAACCAGAAGGGCAATCCAAAAATAGGGGACAGACCAGAGTTGGAAATCCAGAAGGCGAGCAGGGGTCATAAGCCGTGAGATCAGAGATAGCGTCGGGCCGACAGGGGCAAATCCAAAGACCAGGGGCCTCATGCATAAAGGATTGTGCAGCTTTCACACTAAAAGTTGACGTACAGACAAATTTAGAAAAGTGCGCCGCACCAAAATATTCAGTTGTATAAAACCATGAGTACGCAGGTTCCTGTGCAGCTTTCCTTTATACATCCCAATGAACGTGGAGCTGAGACTCCTCCCCTGACACGCCTCCATTTAAATACAGTGCGTAAAATAGATGTAAATGTGTCCAGCGTGTGAGATTCTCCTCAGATTGTCCTCTCTGTGGGATCAGAAATGATTTTTAGATGCAGGAAAATTATACATTAAATGGTGAATGAGTGAGAAAACTGTCTAAAGAAGTAGTGGTGTCATTGTTTTATGTGGCGCATTCACACAGGATAACCAAAGTCTGAGATTTTCCTGAAATTTACAAACATCTCCTGAATGTGATGTTGAAGTCTGGTTAGTTGTTGTCTATTTCATTGAACGGACGTTAAACAAAACATCACTTTATCCACTTTTTCTGCTCTCCTTTCCTCCTGTGTGACAGCAGGTGCTGTCATCTCCACAGACAGACCCCCACCCCACCGCCACAGGCGGGTACGAGTGGTAGCCTTTGGATTTTTAGCAAAAAAAATATAGATTTGAGACTCATTAGACGGTAAACGTCCAAAGGGGTTGACACATATGAACACCTTCCCAGCTGGTGAGGGTGCGCGCCCCTGGCACGAGAATCTACCCAAAGTGTAGCTGCTGTGCTACAGCCACAACTCAACTCAGCATCAACCAGAAGGTTACAAACAGAAAAAAAAATTATTCTTACCATACAGTGAGCCACCGTTTGTATCTGATTTTGCTCCCTCACTTCAGCCTTTTTTTTATTTTATTTATATTTTTATGCCACACGTAATGTGTCAGTTTTTTCCGGCCCGAGACCCAAAAGGTTTTCAACTATGTGACAAAAATATAAAACCAGTTTACAGACTGGACTGAGGTTCTTTTGATCATTTTTAGACTGATCTATTTTCCTGTCTGAGGTTAAATGATTTTCAGTCCCGCGGTTCAGTTTCATGATCTTTCGAGTTTTAAACAATAAAAAAAAAAATCTAACAGTATTCAGACGCTCCTTACATCCAGAAAACACAACAGAGTCGTATTTCTGTGGATTCAGGTCAGATTCATGACTTTATGAGTTAAAACTGTCGGCTGAAAAACTTTGCGTGGCTGCTGCACATTCTCACAGCAGGTGAAAAGTGTGTGTAAATATACGCACATTTTCACGCAACGTTGGTTTTGATACATCCCAATATGAGCGTAGAACCTGGCGCACGTAACTTTTAACTTCTAACCGTTTATACATGAGGCCCCAGAGAACCAGGAGGTGAAACAAGAGTCGTTACCAGAGATGCAGATGGCTGAACAGATCCAAAGAGGGTGAGGGCGAGAATCCAGAATCCAAGGGACGTGAACAGGGTCGAGGTACCTAGGCAGTCAGGGATCATGGGACAAGAACGCTGGATGAACATGGCAAGGCACATGAAAATCTGGCAGAGGCTGAGAGGGAGAGCTGGGACTGAATACTGTGGAGTGCAGGTGAGAGGCATAAGACTTGATTAATTCTGTGACGGGAGGGGTGAAAACAATGAGCAGGCTGTGGCTGAGAACTAGGACAGACTGTGGCTGTAAAAAAACACATGACATGACTAGATAAATAAAACTATGGACTGTGGACATAAAATAAACAAAACTAAACTAAGGCATAAACCAAACTGTAACATGTATAGTCAGTTGGATGTGTGGTAGGATGGTTGGTTGGATGTATGTTCAGATGGATGTATGGTTGGTTGGATACATAGTTGGTTGGATGTATGATGTCCTCACTCTGCTGCTGTCCTTAATCTCTCTTCTCTACATGTTCCTTGTAATTAATGACTTTTATCAATAGCATGTTTTCTTTGACTCTCTTCCAGAGGAAAATACACCTGGACCGGTCCTGTGTTAGTCTGCTGGCTTCTTTAGATTTGTTGCCCTTTTTTTACAGTACCCTGAGACAACAATTGTTGTGATTTGGCGCTATATAATTAAACTGAACTGAATTGAATCAAATATGGTTGGATGTATTGTTGGTTGGATGTATGGTTGGATGCTGTGAGTACGGCTCCAGGCCTTGATGTGATTCTCCTCTAAATGCTCCTCAGCTGTTGAAAAACCAAAGAGGAACTCAAAGCCTCCATCAGAGACAGTGGTCCTGCTGCTTCTCTGTGTTCTGCTGGCTGCTGCTCTCATCGTTTACAGACTCTGTGAGTTCATTTAGATTTCTTCTACTGGTAGGTTTTAAATTCTGCTCATAAATAACTGCTGTCTTATCTTTAATCAGCTGTGAGGATGGCCAATCAAACTGTCCAAACCCTGAGAGAGGACAATGAAGCTCTGAGGGAAATCCTCTCAGGTGAGACAGTCAGGGACTGAAAGAGTCCAGCTCTGTTAAGACACTTTACACGTTTTACACTATTTGTATCAAATTGTGTTCAGTTTAATTTGGTTAATAAATTTGGATTGTTGACAAATTTCTTCAGTAAACTACTGACTAATTTTATACTTAATTTAAACTTTTTTACTTTGCTGAAAATTATGATTTATGTACATTATACACTCACCGGCCACTTTATTAGGTACACCTGTCCAACTGCTCGTTAACACTTAATTTC